CCCTGGGGGCCCCCCTGCCGCAGGGGGGCCCCCTTGCTGCTGCTTGTGTTGCAGGAAGTGCTGCTGCACTTCTTGGAGACAGTTGGGAGTCTCCTTGGCTGCAGCGCAGCGACCAGGCGAGGGCCCAGCTGCTGAAGGTCAGGGACTTGTGCCGCGACATTGACAGCAGCAGCAGCAGCAGCAGCAGCAGCAGCAGCAGCAGCAGCAGCAGCAGCAGCGGCGGCAGCAGCGGGGGCGGCGGCGGCGCGGGCCGGCGGAAGAAGGAAAGCCCCGGCGCCGCCGCCAACGCTGCTGCTGCTGCTGCTGCTGCTGCTGCCCCAGCAGCAGCAGCAGCACCTGCAGCAGCAGCAGCAGCAGCAGCAGCAGCAAAAGAGACAGAAGAAGGAGACAACTCCAGCAGCATCGAAATGCTGCGCGTGTGGGCCCTGGGGGCCCTCGAGAGCAGCAAAACTGCTGCTGTCCCCGTTGCTGTTGTGGACACAGGTGCAGCAGCAAAACTGTCTCCTTTTTCTTTTTATTTATTTATTTATTTATTTATTATTTATTTATTATTTATTTATTATTAATTAATTAATTAATTAATTAATTAATTAATTAATCGTTTATTATTTATTTATTTATTTATTTATTTATTTATTTATTTATTTATTTATTTATTTATTTATTTATTTATTCATTTATTTATTTATCTATTCATCTGTTTATTTATTTATTTATTTATTTATTTATTTATTTATTTATTTATTTGTCTATTTATTTATTTATTTATTTGTTTGTTTATTTATTTATTAATTATTTATTTATTTATTTGTGAAAAGTGTCTCCTTTTGTTTGCAGGCATTAATTACCTCCACCCCGAACTGTCTCTTTCGATGTGGGTAAACCGCAAAGAGCTTCACGGCGAAGTCAGTTTTAATTATTTTATTTTAATTATTTATTTTAATTTAATTATTTATTTTAATTATTTTAATTTAATTATTTATTTTAATTATTTTAATTTAATTGTTTTAATTTAATTGTTTAATTTAATTGTTATAATTTAAATGTTTCAATTTAGTTGTTTTAATTTAGTTATTTTTATTTAATTGCTTTAATTTAATTGTTTTAATTTAATTTATTTGATTTAATTAGTTTGATTTAATGGACTTCATTTGATTGGTTAGTTTAATTTAATTATTTTGTTTTAAATATTTTTATAGGTATTTTAATTAAGTTGATTTTATTAATTTAACTAATTTAGTTAATGTATTCTAATTATTTTAATTTAAATATTTTAATTTATTTAAATAATTTATTTTAGTTATTTTAATTAATTTGGTTTAATCGTTTTAATCTAATTAATGTAATTAATTTAATTGATGTGCTTGATTTAATTCAATTTAACTTAATTAATTTGATTAATTTAATTGTAATTAATTCAATTTAAATCGATTTGTTTATTTAATTCAATTGAAGCATTTAAATCCACTTAGTCATTTAAATTGATTTAATTATCTAAACTGATTCAATTATTTAAAATAATGCAATACATCAATTATTTTAATTATTTTAATTATTTTAATTATTTTAGTTATTTTATTTATTTCATTTTAATTATTTTAATTGCTTTAATCATTTTAATTATTTTAATTATTAAATTATTTTAATTATTTCAAAAACTCTTTTAAAGTTTACTTCTAAAGTTTGAAATATTTCTTTTTGTCTTCTTTAATTGTCTCCTTTTGAAGTCTGAAGAGTCTCCTTTTGGCTCCTGAAGTGTCTCCTTTTGGAGTTCAAAATAAAACTTTTATTTTCCAAAAAAGAGTCTTTTTTAAAATTTAAAATTTCCTTTTGTCTCCAAAAGTGTCTCCTTTTAATTCAAAATATATCTTTTTTCTTTTTTTAAATTATTTTTTTTGGGGGAGGAGTTGAAGACGACGAGAACGAATTAAGTGTCTCTTTTCCCCCCCAAAACTGTCTCTTTTTCCTTTCAAAAAGTGTCTCCTTTTAAGTCCAAAAGTGTCTCTTTTAACATCCAAAAGTGTCTTTTTTTCGTCCAAATTGTCTCTCTTTTTATTCAAAATAAATCTTTTTCCTTTTTCAAAAATTATATTTTTAGACGACGGCGAGAACGAATTTGCAGTCTCTTTTTCTTCCAAAAACAGATTTCTTTTTCCTTTTTAAAACTGTCTCCTTTTGCATTTAAAACTGTCTTTTTTTGCCTCTAAAAGTGTCTCCTTTTCCTTCAAATTGTCTCCTTTTTTAATTAAAAAAATGTCTTTTTTCTTTTTTAAAACTGCAGTTTTAGGAAGGAGTTGCCGACGATGAGAAGGAACTAAGTGTCTCTTTTTCTTCCAAAAACATATTTCTTTTTCCTTTTTAAAACTGTCTCCTTCCACATCCAAAACTGTCTCCTTTTGTCTCCAAAAGTGTCTCCTTTTCCTTCAAATTGTTTCCTTTTTTAACTGAAAAAATATCTTTTTCTTCCAAAATTATATTTTTCAGAAAGGATTTGAAGACGGCGAAAATGAATAAAAAAGTGTCTCTTTTTGTGCTAAAAAGCAGCTTTTTTCTCGTTTTAAAAACTGTTTCCTTTCGCACTCAAAACTGTCTCCTTCGGCCTCCAAAAGTGTCTCCTTTTCCCTCAAATTGTCTCCTTTTTTTCCAAATTGTTTTTTTTTAAATTGTTTTTCAGGAAGGAGTTGACGACGACGAAAACGGCTTCGTCGACGACCTCTTTGGCTGGAACTTCATTCAGGACAACAACAACCCCATGGACGACAACGGCCACGGCTCGCACGTCGCGGGTAAGAGACTTTTTGGAGCTTTTTGAGAGATTTAAAGAGCTTTTTGCATGTTTTTAAAAGGACTTTCAGAGAGGATTCAAAAAATAGTTTTAAAAGTGGAAAAAACCAGTTGAAAACACTTCAAAATCAGGGTTTTAGAAGCTTTTAGGAGTTGAAAACCCCACAGACCACAACGGCCACGGCTCGCACGTAGCAGGTAAAAGAGACCTTTTGGAGGCTTTTTTGAAGCTTTAAAGACCTTTTTGCATGTTTTTAAAAGCAGTTTAAAAGAGGATTCAAAACGTAGTTTAAAAAGCAGAAAAAAGCAATGCAAAAGAGGGTTTTTAGGGGCTTTTAGGAGTTTTCGACCGCTTGGACGACCCGGCCACGGCGCTCATTTAGTAGGTATGAATTAGCCTTTTTGGAGGCTTTTCGAGAGATTTAAAGAGCTTTTTGCATGTTTTTGAGAGGATTTTAAAAGAGGATTCAAAACTTAGTTTTAAAAGCAACAAAAAGCAGTTGAAAACACGTCAAAAGAGAGTTTTAAGGGTTTTTAGAAGTTTTGAACCCCATGGATGATGCAGCATGGCTCTCACATAGCAAGTGTCAAAAGAGACTTTTTAGAGGCTTTTTGAGAGATTTAAAGACCTTTTTGGATATTTTTAAAAGGATTTTCGAAGAGCATTTGAACAATAGTTTCAAAGACAGAAAAAAGCAGTTGAAAACACTTCAAAATAAAGGTTTTAGAGGTGTTTAGGAGCTTTTAATCCCGTGGATAATAGTGGGCATGGCTCTGATGTAGCAGGAAAAAAGGGACTTTTTGAAGACTTTTTGAAGTATTTAAAAGTCCTTTTGGAGACATTTCAAAGGGTTTTAAAAGAGGGTTTAGGAAATAGTTTTAAAAAGAGAAAACAGCAATTTAAAACACTCCAAAAAAGGGTTTTTAGAGGGTTTTGAAGTCTGCAATCCCTTAGATAATGGTGAACATAGCTCTGGTTTGGCAGAGACTTTTTGGGATTTTGGAAAAGCTTTTGGGGATTTTTAAAAACTTTTTGGGAGTTTTAAAAGCCCTTTTGGAGTTTTAAAAAGACAATTAAAAGTGATTAAAAGGGTTTGAAGAAAGGGTTTAGAAAATGGATTTTAAATCCAAAAAAACCAACTTTAGACACTTCAAATGAGGGCTTTTAAAGGCTTTTACAAGTTTCTTTGGAGACACTTTAGAGACACTGTTAGAGACACTTTTGGAAATATTTTGACGCCATTTTGGAGATATTTTTAAAGACATTTTAAAGACATTTTAAAGACATTTTGAAGACATTTTAAAGGCATTTTAAAGACATTTTAAAGACATTTTAAAGATATTTTAAAGACATTTTAAAGGCATTTTAAATGCATTTTGGAGATATTTTAGAGACATTTTGGAGACACTTTGGAGACATTTGAGAGAGATTTAAAAGATTTTAAAAAGACATTTTGAAGAAATCAAAAGGACATTTTAGGGACATTTTAGAACTATTTAAGAGACATTTAAAAGGCAATTAAAAGAGATTTAAAAGACATTTAAAAGATGTTTTAAAAGAAAAATAAAAGATATTTAAATACTATTTTAGAGACACTTTGGAGGTTTTTCGGAGACATTTAAAAGTCATTTTGGAAACATTTTGGAGACATTTAAATGACAGTTTGGAGACATTTTAAAAGCATTTTAGAGACAATTAAAAGCTATTTAAAAGGCATTTAAAGAAATTCAAAATATATTAAAAGGATATTTAAAAGTGTGTTTTATAAGTATTAAAAAGACATTAATTAATTAATTAATTAATTAATTAATTAATTAATTAATTAATTAATTAATTAATTAATTGATGATTAATCAATAATTAACCGATTAATGAATTGATTAATTGATTTAATTAATTAATTATTAATTAACTAATTAATCAGCTAATTAATTTATTAACTAATTACGCAATCAATTGCTTTATTTATTGACTAAATTATGTGCCCGTCAATGTACGAAATTTTTATTTATTTATTTATTTATTTATTTATTTATTCGTTTACTTATTTATTTATTAACTTTTTTATTTATTTACTTATTTATTTATTTATTTACCTAATTAGTTACTTAGTTATTTAGTTATGTAGGTATTTATTTATTTATTTATTTATTTATTTATTTATTTATTTATTTATTTATTTATTTAGCTGTCTATTTATTTATATATTTATTTTTTTTAATTCAGTTATTTAGTTATATATTTATTTATTTGCTTAGTTAGTTGGTTAGTTATTTAGTTATTTAGCTATTTATTTATTTATTTATTCTTTTATTTATTTATTTATTTATTTGTCTCTTTATTTTTTATTTTTTATTTTCTTCTTTTGCCGCGGCCTCTTGTGTCTCTTGCTTTTGAATTTCGTTTAATTCCAAACTTTATTTTTTATTTCTTTTAATTAATTTTTTACTTTTTAAATTCTTTGTTTCTTTTTTTGTTTATTTATATTATTTTTATTTTTTAATTTTAATTTTCAATTAATTATTTCTTTTTTATTTCTTTAAAAGTAAGACTTATTTCTTATGCGCTTTTCTCTTGTCTCTTTTATTTTCAATTCCTTCTCAATTTTTCCTTTTTATATTTTGTCTTTATTGCCTCTTTTATCTCCTTTTACTTTTTATTTTTTATTTTAATTTTCATTTATTTTCTGTTTTTTATATTTTATTTTTTTGTCCCCTTAAGATGACTTCTCGTGCCTTTTAGTCTTTTTTCTCATTTTTAAATTTCTTTCTTCATTTTTAATTTCCACGCCCCCAAAACCCAAAACCCTAGACCCTAAACCCTAAACCCTAAACCCTAAAACCGGCTAAAACCCTCAAAAAAGCGCGCAAAGACTCGGAAAAAGCGCGGGAAGAATAAAAGGACCTTTTGGAAATAAAGGGTTTGGAAAAGTGTTTTGCAAACCCTCAGGAATTGTCGCGGCGTTGCAAAATAATGGAGAAGGAATTAGCGGAATTAGCGAAAGAGCAAAAGTGATGGCGCTGAAAATTCTGGACAAAAAAGGAGAAGGAGACGTCTCGCATGCAATCCCAGCGATTCAGTACGCAGTGGACAACGGGGCCAAAGTGCTCACCAACTCGTGGGGAGGCGTTAG